GGGGCGACGCCTGCGGAGCCCCACCTCGGGGTGCTTCGCCCCCCTTGAGCGCCCAGAGGCGCTGCTGAACGTCTCAGCCGGTCCCTTCTGTGCAGTAAAGCCACCAGGGTGAAACCCGCAACGGGCTGGCGGCTGAGAAGGTCCCTTTCGGCACAGCTCCTTCCCGCAGACTTCGGCGGGGCTCTGGCCGGGCGAGGGTGCTGGTCCTGGGGCGGCGCAGCCCTGTCCCGCTGGCAGCTTGGTCTCACGGGGAATGAGCCGCTGGATCACCGGGTCACCTCGCCCCTGGTCCCAGCCGCTTGGCGCTTCCCGGGTGAAGGTTGTCTGGGCCCGCGTGGGTCTGTCGCTCCCGCACGGAGCGCGTGGTCTCCGTCAGGCAAAGCCGTGCATTCCCGGGGTCAGGATGAAGTTCTGCCACGGTGAAAAACATGGTAACCTTCGGCATAGCCCCCGAATCCTCCCCTGCCCCCTTTCCTGGCATCGGTTATTGCCTTGGCAAATGCGCTGCCCCTTCGCTTGGGCTCGGCCCTGTCCAAAATACCCTTTTGCTGCATCCGCACCATCCGCAACACCTGACGTGAGCTGTTTTCCTTCCAGACACTGGGAAGGATCCTTTTTCTTCGTGTTTCATGGAGCATAGGCACCCCTGTCCCCTCCCAGGGCTGGGCCACTCTGCCAGCATCACCCCGTGTTTGCTTCCAACCGGGGTCTCCCCGCCTCTCGCAGCCACTCTCCTCAGCTTTCCCCTTGGCTCCTGGTTCCCTTTGTTTTTCTCACGCAGCATTTTCTGTGGAGAGCTGGTTCCGATATTTTGTGTTAAACCTTTTCTTGCTCCTCAGCTTTGTCTGCCCACACAGGACTCCCTATTCTCTCACCAGCCCTTTGGCTTATATATTTTTGGTGCTAAATTACTCTGTTAGTCTACAAATCTTTGCATACAGTACAGCTCTGAGTAATACTGTGACAGTGTATAAATAGCAAAGCGACTGTGTTTGCTGAACACCTTGTCCTCGAGCTTCCCGCCTCACCTGGGACGCTCAGCTGGGGGTGAGGGAACGGCCCCGTCCTGTCATTACCGGCGTGTTCCCGGCCCTGTGATACACGGTGAGTTTGGTGGGTGAGATCAGAAACCCTTCTGGAAGCCCCTGATCAATCCTGGCCACATTCCT